ATAGTAGTGTAACCATAGTTATGATAATATAAAGTTTAAATTGATATCATAAATGAATGAGTGTTAGACTAACATTGAAAATGTGGAAGCACTAAAGGGCTGTTTCGTCCTAGTATGGGACTCCTCAGCAGTGCGCATCCACGATCTCGACTCACGAGATTTGAACCCAAGATCTATCAGTCTTGCCCGCGATCGCTTAACCTCTAGACCAATGATCAATTGTAGTCCTAAATACCAATGGGAAAATATAAAAAAAACAATACAAATGGGCTTTATATATTGTTATTTTAAAACTTATTTAACCCTATTTGATCTGATTACCATGTTGATTTTATTATTATCATTATAGGGGTTGTGGAGATTATCATGTTTTTGATTGAGATCATGAACCGATTGATGTTAGACCACCATTAAAACACTGGGAGCACTGAACGGCCGTTTCGCTCTATTGTGGAACTACTCAACACTGTGCATCCACGATCCCGCTCACGGGATTCGAACCCAAGGTTTTCAGTTTCACGCGCGAATGCTTAACCTACTGAACCACTGAGCCGGTATCTAATGGTGTAAATGTCTAAACTAGACCAATCTATGAAATTTCGCGACAATCATCCATTGTACTGAAGTAGATACCTGTCTCTACCCGACAAGGACTAGCTCCACTTGTCACAACATTTGGACGAAACGGATGTCCAGTTCATTCAGGTTTTCAACGGTGTTCTAACATCAATCGGTTCATGATCTTAATCAAAAATATCTTATTGTTCTTACCTTTATTTAGTTTCTCGTTCTCATTTTATAGTTTTCACCTATAATCAATAATGACCCAATCGACTTCATTAACTTATTAACCAATTAAATTATATATGTAATACAATTATTACTTTAAAAAATTGGCTAAATAATCAAAATTGTTATAAAATTGAATTAAAACTGTAAATTAATGATCATCATTTCTTCTATTATAATCTACCCTGTGAAGATGATGCCAATAATTAGATTTCCGGAAGTTTCATTTAATTAGATTAACTAAAACTTTATATTAGAGAAGTGCAAGGCATGTTAAAGTATTCAATGCTTATTATCAAATTGTGTTATCATGATATCAAGGTCATTTGTACATTACGAAAAAAGAAACAAAACAACAAGAGAACATTATTTAACATGTAAATAAGTGAAGAGAATGTTTGTAGATATTATAATAAATTTAATAGTTGAATTCATGACTTGTGACCAGTGGACTTCAAACAGGTCTATTGTGAGACAGTAACTGACTGATGACAATGGTGGACAATGGTAATAACTTTGTGGATTAATTAAAGTTAGACGTTAATACCGTTGGATGCTGGCTCAGTGGTGTAGAGGTTGTGTTCGCGCGTGTATCTGATACGTTTTTGGTTGGAATCTCACGAGGCGGGATCGTGAATGATTACTGTTGAGGAATCCCATACTCGAACTAAACGGCCATCTATTACTTCCAGATTTTCCATAGTGATCTAGCTTTAATCAATTATATGCATAAACAAAATAAGTCACATAAGAGCGATATATATGTTCATGTTTCTACAGAATTCAATAAAAGATTCTTATGAATTACTATTTTCATTGTTAACATTCCAACAAATATGTTCAGATCTATATTGCTATGGTAACCGGTAGAGTAGTCTAGCTTATTACAAAGTTGATGGAGTTTATTTTGTTAATTCTCTAAACAATTAAGTATTCATAGGCGAAATCTGGTGGATTTAGTTAGATAAAAAGAAATTACTTTTCATTAAAACACACACTCTGAATTAGTGACATCCATCGATAATTTTAAAGTTATGAATAACATTAAAACAAACGCATACAATCTCAAGCTAGATTTATAAGTAATGTACACGAACGATCAATAACTGCTTATGAGAACATGAGTATTGTGACTAACAGAACAATCCAGAATACAGATCTTGTCCTATCTAGATCATACCAACTGAACATACCTCCCTCACGGCATTGATATTTACACCGGGACTCATCAAGTAACGTTTTTCTACAAACGCCTAATATATTGTTCACCAAGCAACTGATCGAATTTCAATTCCTAATATTATCGACCGGATAACTTAATGCCTTCTTAATAAGTGTGCTAAACATCATACATGATGATCAGGTTTGAAATAGAATGAATTCATTGTATTCTGCAAATCTTGTTCAACAATGTTTCGGTTCATCAGATTAGTGTTAAATATTATTATTTAAGAATAGAATGTTTATTACAATAAAACGTAAATGATCATACAAAGTAGACATAATCTATGACAGAATGCCTGATTGAACTGAAAAGCTGTAATGTAAAATATGCCGACTGAGTATTCTGAAAGAGTTAAACATTTGCTCACGAGACTGGAGTTCTTGGGTTCTAGTTCCTTGTGCGGGATCATGGATGTGCACTGCTGAGGAGTCCCATACTAAGGCGAAACTGCTGTCAAGTGCCTTTAGCTTTTCAAAAGTCTTTTCTTATATTTGACCTAAAATATAAATAATTAGAACTGTTTTGTTTTATTGTGATCTGATTGAATCATTTTGACTACGTAAATTTTAAGCACCTATTGGATGAAGAATCAAGATTCAATTGATGATTAATGTGAAAGAATTCACTGTTATGATTCCACAATGTAATAAATCTTATCAGTATGGGAATTTTTGGAGATAGTTGTATTTTAACAGTTGAATTCACGAGCCAATTATGGATCGATTCGAGCTAGACATAAACATCGTTCGATACTGGTTCAGTGATCTACAGGTTGAGTTCGCCTGAGAAACCAAATCTTCTGGGTTCTAGTCTTTCATGCTGAGTCGTGGATTCACACTGGTGATACTATTGATGGAAACATAAAGCTCATAAGTGAAACATTGATAACAGTTATTCATTGAAGTCTATAAACTGTTAGAAATTGGGTAATATGATGAGACCTGTATGTATTTCGTTAGTCTGAACGTTTACAAACTAAAGCGTACTGTATTAAATAGCCATGTAAGCTAATCTGCTTTCTCAGAAAAAAAAGCCAATTGACCACTAGTCTGAAATAATTTAGTGACTAGGTTAAATTTGTAACCTCATTTGATAATAAGCGTCTCGAATCCTTCCATAGACATATATTTTCCGTATAACGATAAATACGAATCTACAGCTTAAGTAAATAATCTCGTCGAAAAGAAAATTTTCTTCGCCGAACTCTTTTTTTATTTAATGACACAATGAGTTATTTTAATTAATCAAATCTAATTGAGATTATAAACCAATCCATGTTAGACAACCATTGAAAAACTGGAATTCTAGTATGGGACTCCTCAGCAGTCCATATGCCGATCTCGCACGCAGGACTGCAACCTAAGACCTTCAATCTTGCGCAAATGTTTAACCCCTAAACCACTGAGCCGGGATCCAACAGTAATAATATATAACTTCAACCAATCCCCGAAGTTGAGTGACCAGCTTCCATTGTCTGAGGTAGATAACTACATCACATCCGACACGGATTAGCTCCACTGATCATGGCTTCTCACTAGAACTCCAAGGATGCATTCACGAAGCTAGTCGCTAGTGAACATATACTAGCTATCGGTATAGGGTTGTGGAGATTGCTAAGATTTGATTGAGATCATTGGAAACCTGGAATCACTAGTCAACCTAATATGAGACTCCTCAGCAGCACACGTAATTGATTTTATGAATATATTCAATGTAAAGTTGTTTTCCCAGAAAAACTTTTCTTCAGAAAAATATCAACTTTGAGACCATGAGTCAATTGAAGCTAAACCACCATGTAAAACCTGGAAACACTGGTGGATGTGTCGCCCGATTTCGTGGATTAGTTGAAGTTATAAATTAACACCGTTGGATGCTGGCCAATTTGGTGGTCTAGATATTAAGCGTTCACGCGCGAGACTGATAAGTTCTGGTTTCGAATTTCGTGAGGTGTGATCGTGGATGCGCACTGCTGAGGAGTCCTATATTAAGTTGAAACGACCGTTCATTGCTTTCAAATCTTCCACAGTGGTCTAGCGTTAAATCGACTCATGATCTCAACTGTTAAAATTATTATAATATTCACAAAAACCCCTTCTGATATGAATCAACATATGCACACTAGTGACTGACTTCAAGAGGTATTTCTTGGAGTTTTAATGAGAAGCAGTGACCAGTGGAGTTCAACCGGGTCTGTTGTGAGATAATTACTTACTGATGAAAATTGTTGGTGTCGCTCAATTTCGTAGATTAGTTAAAGTTGCACAGTAGCACCGTTAGATGCCGGCTCAATGGTTTAGAGGTAAGGCTTTCACATCTTCAGTTGGAATTTCGTACGACTTGATCATGGATGCGCACTACTGAAGAGTCCCACACAAAGACGAAACGGTCATCTATTTCTTCTAGGTTTCCTATAGTTATCTAGCTTCAAAATAACTCATGATCTCAACTATATGAATTAATAGATATCAAAATGAAAAGAATAAATTTGTCTAGTCAATCTTATTTATTCCTTGAATAAGATAAATATTTTATTAACCAATCAAAAAATTATCTCAAATAAATAATACCTTTTTTTTAATATTTTTCAATAGCCTATTAAGAAAGAGATTGAATCAGATTGTACATAAATCTTAACTATTAACAATTTAAATATTTTATATTGATAATAATGATAATAAAAACAATCTATTCAATATACACTTATCAACATCATCACTCTCAACATCACCATCACCATCATCAACATCCTCATCAACATCAATCTCAACATTAATTGAAGTGTAATACACATTACACATATTAGAATAACTATTAACTAAAAGTTAATCAAAGTATATTAGTCTACTTATATTTATACAAAACGAGTAGTATCATCTATCAATAAATAAATAATTTGTTTATTTATTATTAAAGTCCATTATTATTATTATTATTATTATTATTATTATTATTATTATTATTTACAATAATTATTTTAATCATTCAAATGAATACATCATCAAAATCCGATAATTTTCTTGCACAATTTAAAGATATTAATTCAAATTCATTAAAATATTTTACTGCTGCACAATTTGTTGAAGTATGGAATCATTATGATACTGATGGTAAGTTATATTTTATTACAGTAGTTAAGATCATGAGTGAATTAAAACTAAACTACCATGGAATACTTGGAAGCATTGGACGGCTGTTAAGTTATAGTGTTAGACTCCTCAGCAGTGCGAACCCATGACCCCACCTCTCGGGATTCGAACCGAGGACTTATCGGTCTCGCACTAGAAGTTAATTATTCAAGGGTGAGACCGATAGGTCCTGGGTTTGAATCTTGTTAGGTGAGATCGTAGATTTGTCTAACAATAGGATGACATAACATTCCAATGCTTCCAGGCTTTTAATGGTGGTCTAGCTTCAATTGATTCATGATCTCAACTATTGAGATTACTACAATCTCTACAAAATCTCTTCTGATATATTTTATTACTTAAGAAATAATGCATAATACTGAAGTGTCTAATATTAGGATGAAACAGTTGTTTAATACTACTAGGTTTTCTATGGTAGTCTAACTTTAATTGACTCATGAATTCAACTATTAAATTTATAAAAATTGAATTTTGAGTTGTTATTACTATTATTGATTACTTTATTTAAATTTCTCAGCACAAAGTATTTCAACAAGTTTCCGTTTCTTACTTTCTGATTGAGCTTGACGATAAATATTGTATGGTCGCTAGTTAGAAGTTACCAGTTCAGTTAACCGACATCTAAATAACATACATTCTTTTCGTTGCATATTACCAGCAACCACAATGTCTCTGATTAGGCACTTCTGTAACTTGTACAACGAAAGGTTGTACACTTTTCAGAAACACACCTGAATAGGTTATGCGACTAATTCATATAATGATCTATTGAAACAAATGTAAGATAGATAATTTGTTGAAATATCTAGATGTCAGGGAAAAATAGCCCAGATATTCAAGCAAGATATGAATATTTAGGATTTATGAATATAACACAAATATCATATAATGCTGAGTGAATTTAGTCAAAATAAAATTTTTTAGAAAATCTACTTACTCACTCTTGTTACTCCTCATCAAGGAGCATAGGACGCCCATCAGCACTCTCCATTCAACCCTATTCTGGGAAATTGTTTCCAGCTCTTTCCAGTTGTTATTCATCCTTTTCATATCTGCTTCTATTTCGCGATGTAATGTGTTTTTCAGCCTTCCACTTTTCAAGCTTCCCTTCAGGATTGTAAGTTAGGGCTTGTCTTGTGATACAGTTTGATGATTTCTGTAATATATGTCCTATCTATTTCCATCGTCTTTTTCTAATTAACTCCTCAGCTAGAATCTGGTTTGTTCTCTCCCACAGTAGACTGTTGCTGATGGTACCTGGTCAATAGATGTTGAGCATCTTGCGTTGACAACTATTTATAAATACTTGTACCTTCTTGATGATGGTTGTAGTATTTCAGAAAACAGAAAGTATATGATCGTTATTTCGTTTAATCATAGGATTATCCTATAATATACACTGATTGTCTTACAAATGCTTCAGTTTATGATAAGAAAATCATTTGTTATTTCTTATCTTCCTTCATTCTTAATTGAATATGAACTCATGATTAATACTTTTTTCTCAAAAAAATTAAGAAAGTGGCCACTTGTAACTTCAATAAACTTAACAGTATTACTTAATTACGTAGAGTAATAAGCTAATCGAATAATTAGTAATATGAAAGACTTTAAGAATACGTAATGTTTTAGTATAATAATGGTAAACAGAAGTTTCTGAATCATATATATGTATATATAACAGGGACAGAATTCGATAGTGAATTCTAATGGGCGACCTTTGCTCCTCCATGAAGGGTAATAGGTGTAAGTATATATAAGTACTTATCACCAGTAACTCAGGTTGTGTTTTTTTTTCTCTACCTGATTTGATTGTCTTCAAGGAAACCATAAATTTTCATTGATTGATACTCCAATTTTAGCTTTATTCTTAGAAAAGTAGCTTCTACTTTATAGTTGTACTAATTATTACACTTCGTTATGAATATGTAGTTTTTCTTATAAGAACTGTCTGTACGTAAAATATCGAATTAGACTGTACTATTAAGTGTAATTTATTAACTCTAACTGTTAAAATACCAAGTGATTTTTTAGTCTTTAACTAAGGTAAATACTTTGAAAACCAATTATTATCTAGTGAGAAGCTGTGACCAGTGGAGTTCGACTAGGTTTTTTGTGAGATAGTAACTCACTGAAAACAATAGTGGATGTGTCGCTCAATTTTGTGGATTAGTTGAAGTTATACAAGACCGATAATTCCTGGGTTAGAAGCACATAGGCAGGATCGTGGATGTGGACTGTTAAGGAGTCTCAATACTTGGACGAAACGGTCGTCCAGTGTTTCCAGGTTTTCTATGATGATCTAGCTTCAATTGACTCATGAATTCAACTATTAAATTACTAAAATCTCGACAAAACCTCCTCATGATAATCTTCTTATGCTCACTAGTGACTGGCTTCAAGAGGTATTTCCAGGAGTTCTAGTGAGAAGCCTTTACCAGTGGAGTTCAACCGGGTCTGTTTTGAGGTAATAATTCACTGAAGACATTTATGGAGAGTGGCTCAGTTTCATGGATTGGTTAAGGTTACACATTAACACCATTGGATACCGGCCAGTTCAGCGGTCTAGAGATTAGGCGTTCGTGCGCGAGACCGATAGGTTCTGGGTTCGTACCCTGCGGGTGGGTTTGTGGATGTGCACGGTTGAGGAGTCCGGATACTAGGACGAAACGGTTGTCCAGTGCTTTCAGGTTCTCATGGTGATCTAGCTTTAATTAACTCATGAATTCAACTATTTTAAAAATAATCTGTCTACAAGTTTTTAAACAAATTATTGATTTGATCAGAGTATAAAAGGATAAAGAATAAAACCATATATATATATATTGATATAGTCCATGTAATCCGATAAGATATGAACTGAGAACATGGAAAAAAATAATCGATCAACTTATATCGGTCATTATATCACTATGATTACAGTTATAAATAGTAGCATATTTTATGGATATCATATTGTTCTGTTTTGTTTCCATAAAATTTATTCCTATTCACAAATATTAGACAAAACGAAAATAGAACTGTTTAAAGATTAAGATTAGATACTTTGTTGACTTTGATTTCTCGCAGATACATTTAAGAGTTTAGTTCGTTTGAAGCATTAATATATATGTATTAATTAAGAAATGAACTGTTGAAGTCGCCGTAGGTATATGTAGTTCGACAACACTTTAACTAATAACACCTTCTGCAATTGAATCATGTCCACCTAGTGAGAAGTGAAGAGGTTGGAAGATATATGTGATAGGTTATTAATATATCGAGAAGTGATCGATCTAAACTGGTTAACAGTTGTAGAAGTTGAGCAAGGCGTATTCACTCCTGATCTGATGCGGATGTGTGACTGAGCGCCTTCAGCTAGGTGAATCCATTAAAACTAATGTCGTCATCATCAAATGTAGAGAAATTACAGAACTATTGATTTTGAGGATTTATTTACCGCTACACGTGATTAGCAGTGAAATACAGGATTGTTTGGGACATGTCAGCTGGATTAAAAATATGTCCCAAATTCCACTCTTAACTTTAATCCATCTATCCTACACTACCTTGTGTCATTTTAGCTAATATTGAAGCAACTCCCACAGGATCCCCATATGTCAACAACGAGATAATTCGAAGCACTTCAAATTTAAATAAATGGTTTTGTTGTATTTTTATGGTTTCTATGGCTTATACAAATCTTAATATGATATATTCTTATCGTTTATTCATTTCATGTCCCACCCCGCTGTATTCAGTATATGGTGAGAAATTAAACCAAAGAAACTACTTTGTGTTTTAGGATGTGACTTCTTTACAATAAATTCGGCAAACAATGAAGACACTTTTAAGTAGAAAGTTGGTACATTATATTTACACTTGGAAAGAGCCTATAGTTACTCTTGGCTTAACTTGAAAAATAAAGTGTGGTAATGATAATTTGTGTTCCAGTAAATGGGTGTTTCGAAAACAATGTATACCATACCTTTTTTAGCTTATCTAGTTTAATCTTTCGAAGATACTCTATGTTTATTCAGTAGTAAGCACATTTTTATATTAATACTAGTAACTTCAAAACAATTTATTATAATCTATATTTGAATCGTGCTATTAAACTTATCCAGTTAAATAAACTCAGTTGTCTCAAATGTTTACAATTCAGGGACAACATACGCTATAGCTATTGGAATGTTGATAGTGTAGTGAATGAACTCTCAGCATACATCACAGAAGTAGTAGACAGAAAACTTTGGAACTAGGTTTCGTGCTAGTTGTCATTTGTCAGTAGGGTGTAGCCATAATCTTGGGTGAATTAATGATACCTACAAGATTAAAATCAACTTTATCGAGAATCATTGACTCTTGTTTTCAACTGGTCCAAAGTCTGCTACTGGTTGCCCACAATCATCTAACAAATTACTATGGTGAACCTGATGTCAGGTCAATATGACTAGTATCCAAGTTGTATCTTCATTGATTGATTTTGAATAACACTTAAGACTGCGAAGCCATTACATCGGTTGCTTTTCAGCGATCAATTATTTGTGTATACTATAGCAATAGACTAGATAGTTGAAACTTTTCATTTCAGAAAATTAATATTTAATAGTACAATTATTTCTATAGTTGAGTTCATGGGTCAATTGAAGCCAGACTACCATGGAAAACCTGGAAGCACTGAACGGCCGCTTCGCCCTATAGTGGGGCTCCTCAGCAGTGCGCATCCACAATCCCTCCTCACGAGATTCGAACCCAGGAGCGCGAGCGCTTAACCACTAGAGCAGTGAGCCGGCCAGCATCCAACGGTGTTAGTGTCTAACTGCAACTCATTCATGAAATCCACGAAATTAAGCGACTACAATTTTCACAAAACCCCTTCTGATACGAATCAACATATGCTCACTAGTGACTAGCTTTAAGAGGTATATCCAGGAGTTCTAGTGAGAATCAGTGACCAGTAGATTTCAACCGGGTCTGTT